GAGGGCTGGTGTCCCAGTGGCTTAGGGTATTGGTTGCACGGGGTGGCGCATTCAAGTGGCGCATGGGTAGCCACGACGCTGTGTGGACGTAATTGTGTCCGAGCTGAAGTCGGTCGAGTGGCTTCAGGTCAGCGCGTCTGGGACGGCTCGTTGCAAGGTGTGAATGACCTTGAGGCAGCGAGGTCTTAAATAATGACGCCAGACCGGTCATGCTGGCTGGCCGCCACACTGCCACAGCACATGAAATTTCCTATCCTCTCGTGTAATCTGGCGGAGGGTGAGACGGGACTCTATAACACGCAGCCACAACGCGGTGTCACAAAGCCCCACGACTGGCAGATCAAAGGTGTGAATGTCGGCTATCGGCTGGTCGGTAGAAGCGTTGGATATAGTTAGCCGATGTCGGCCAGAGGTCAGATAATTGGAGTGGAGGACTGGCGCGCTGGCAGTGAGAGCGAAGGGTAGCACTCGCAGTGGATGAAAAGGTGAGGCAGTGTGAATAGCAAATAAGGGCTGGATAAATAATCTGATCGATAAAAAGTAGGGTGAGGATGAATCCTGATGGGAATAGCGTCTGAGTCCAGATCAGAAGGTTGCGTGTTCATATCACGTCGGGGCCGTCAATGTAAGTTGTAAAATGGTCTATCGTCAGTAGCCGCGAGAATGCAGCATGACGATAAATTTATATTTAATGTTGTAAAAGTTTCTTGGAGCATTAAAAGAAAACGCTTTTTCGTGTCAGTACAGATCGCAGCCTTACTTGCCACATACTTGATTACCCAAAGTTAAAAACCTGCAGCGCTTCAAATAGCTACCACAAGTAAAAGTGAGTAGTATTTTTTCCAAATGTAAACCAATTTTACCTACCACTGTGAAACCCAGGTCCCACCATGTCTCCTAGCCCCCCCCCCCCACTTTCTAAGGACAGGTAAATGCGTTCCACTTAATGTATTACTGTCTGTTTGTATTTATTTTGGCCCCCATGCCTGGCGTAACTCCGGCTAGTCAACTGTTTCGCTGGGGTCCCTATGTTGAATGGTCTGGGGTTGCAAAGGAATTGCATTTGCGAACTGGCCATAATTCAGGCTGTTATTCGTAATCACCTGATCGCACGTTAGCAGTATTCAGAGACTGGCGTGTTCTGGGACAGATCCCATCATATGGTGCATTTCGGCTGAAACGTATGTCTCCAGGGCCGACTATGGGCCTGCATCGGGACGCCATTTCACCGCAACCTATGTAACTCCCGCCTTCGTTGACTGTGACGATAATTGGCGATGAGGATTTACCGGAACCGATCGTTGGTCTATGAACTGAAAATGTTTAGAGAACTTTCTCCAGAGAAGAGGGAGAGAGAGAAAGTTCAGTGCTCCACTGGAAACGACCGTGTCTATAAATATGTATGCACAAGTCACCTTTGTGAAGAATACTCTGATTAAAGCTCCGAGCTGGCGTATTGTTTGACAAATTTTCATGTAACTTGCGTCACCTATCTCAAATCAGTGACATATCCTGTTGAGTACTTCTGAAAGAAACCATATATTGCATGGGGACAGTACGATAGCAGGCTGGCAGCACGGTAAATGCTGAACTGTAAGCCGAACACATGAAACAACAATGCAGTTCACCAAACAGT